AGTTTGTCCTCTAAAGGGATTATGTAACCATACCACGTCTAAAATATTAAATAATTCTTTTATAACTCTTAAATAAATGGGTTTGGAGGGTGTGGGTTGGCTTTGTTTGGCTTATGGTATGGTCCAGTGGTGAGCTGTTGTGTACATGATAATGAACCTTCAGATTCAATAGAAGGCAGGGAATTTGTTGACCTGCAAAGTGACTGGTAGCTTCTCAACAAGGACTCCATACCATGGAGTTATGTTCTTTTATTATATGTGAAATTGATTTGGGTAATTTAAGATAATTTGACTGAAAAAAATTTGTCCACATAAGAACTGTATCAGTAATTTTACTGGGTGACAAGTGAGGTTTTAGGATATCTCACATTACACAGAGATTTCAGTAGTCTCAAATCCTCGGGTGAAAGTTTGATGTTGGTAGTTTACAGTGGGTTGTACAGTACTTAAATATTAGTCAGCTGCCAGCTTGTATTTCTGTGTCATATTATAGTTCTAGTTAAATGTTTGTTAGTTATCATCTTCACACAACAATTATTTATAAATAAATTTATGCACTTAGCACGGGAGAAAATTGGTTCTATAAGAAATAATGTATTTTGGGTGCTGACCTCTGCTTCCATGATTAAATCAGGACCTGCTTGTGTGTATAAACCTGGCTAATTAGACGTAATCAAACCTAATGGTAAATATGAAATCTATAAATTGTTGACTGCATGATGCTGGATGTAATGTATCATCTTATTACATATGTACTGTAGGCTGCTGCGCTAAATATATCACAGTATTTGGCTACTGAGGTGAAGGCACAGATGAAGAGGGGCAGTGAAGTGGCCACACCAGCCAGTGATTGCTCTTTGCCTTCTCCCATGTCTTCAAGCAACAAAACAGGAAGTAAACATAAGAGGGTGCGACCACCATCACCACCATTGTCTCCATTAGTTGGACAGCTCACAGAGATGGGTTTTGCACGACGAAGTGTGGAGTGTGCCATAAAATTTTTCGGTGAGACCTGGTTTTGTTGCTAGCAGTGATTGTAAAATAATTTGTTATAATTCTTTATATATAATAATTACAAATAAATAATAGAATAGAAAATATGAAAATATATTTTGCAACAGAATACCATACTTCCTCAAATATAATTTTCTCCAAATACCTCCCAAAAAAGTGAGCATGCATTTTATTTGAACATGTTCAATTCTGATAGATATTTACTAGAAACTCTCACCAAAAATGTCATAACTTAATTAAATTAATTTATTTTCTTCTGTGTAGTGACAGCAATGAAAGATATCTAAAAATGTTTGATAAATTGATAATTTTTTTAATATATTTATACATTCAATAAATTGTGTACATGTTTAATGTAATTCTTTTTTTATTTTACCTTTTGAAATGGGGTAGGGGTGTATATTAAATTTGGGCAAATACAGTGCATATTCCGAATATAATTTTTTACCTCCATTTAAAGGCACATAAATTTGCCAGTGATGGAAACTAATTAATTTTCTTTTATAAGTAAATCAGTATATCACCCAGTTTTTGCCTATTTGCTTAATGGGACTCTGAAAAATCTGAGTCATGGATCCAGTCATCGTATCATGTTGACAGATTTACGGTGAGAGTATTTTACCTGCTTATGTGAAAATACTGTATTTTGTTTTCTTTAAGGAATTGCAAGTGAAATTCCACCAAGTCCTGAAACATTGGTTGGATGGTTGTTGGAACGTCCAGATCATGCACTTTGTAATTCAGACACTGTTTCATCGTTTGATGGCCTATCTGATACAGATTCCATATCTGAGGAGGTGGAAGACATGACAGCTTCCCATACAGAAGGGGTAATTATAACTTTTAATATTTATTTTGTGAATCATATGTTTTGGTCAGAGACTTTTGTGCCATGAAATACATTTTACTACCATTCATCTGTCTTTTCTAGAGTGCCATGTATTGCCTTCCCTTTTACACAAATTACAGAACTTTATTTTTCAGGCTCTTTTGTGTGTAATTTATAAACTAATATAGAATTAGTAATTTGAGGTTCTCATGGCAGTGAAGATAGATGTCTTTAGGGCTCAAGATGGGAGGGGTGGAGGAGGTGATTCCTCTGAAATGTTGGTATTTACCTACAAGTCCACATGGCATTACAATCCAGAATGCCAACATCAACATAATACTGCATTTGTCATAGATCTAGGAAGAATCACTCTTTTATTTTATGTGTATACCAGTCCATTTGTGATTTTCATGTTCATTTCTGAATTTAAATAATCAATCATCTGTTGTTGCCATGTCCCTTGGGATACAGAGTGTCCTGAAGTGATACTAGCACTGTACTAAAGGCTTAAATTATTATTTTTGTTCAGATATGATTCATGTAACATGTAGACAGACAGATAGATATGGCAGAGGTAATAGGCATGTTTTTGCATATGCTTTTGTGAATTTGCCTGTAAGCTTTGCAAGTATTTGATTATGTCTTGCAGGCAGTTTCTTCTGCAGGCTATAACCAGCGTTCAGACTTCCTCAGTAATGATGAATATGCCATGTATATCCGTGATAACATTGCAGATGGCATGCTTGTACGTTGTTGTAAGACATATGAGGAAGTTCATGAGGGGGATGTTGGGCGTGTACTCAAAGTTGACAATGAAGGTCTGCATGATCTGAACGTTCAGGTATGTCTTTTACAAATTGTTTAAAATTTAGTGTGTTGTAGTATAACTATAATACACTGAATCATAGTTTCAGCATTTGTAGGTGCTAAAGTAGTGTACAGTAGAATGTTAATACAAGTTACAGTGGACCTCAAATAATTATATAATTAGAAATTAGGAGTAACATGGAATAGTTCTTGCCAATTTGAATTACCTCATACAAATTATGAATTAGAGTCTTTATGTTATAATGTTATTATTTCTCAGCTACATGTTTGTACAAAAGTGTAATGCTCCAACTTCATATCTAATTTATCACAAATAGTCTTGCTGAACCTTGAGATTATAATATTGGTCAGTAGTTATTGTTATACATTGTGGAAGTTTAATAAGTAAGTGATTATTTCAGTGATGTTCAGAATTTTTATTTAATTAGAAACATAAGTATGTGGCAACTTCCTTTTTTCCCATTTCTTTCCACCCTGCACCCTCTACTTTTCCCCTGCTCCTCAATCAATTTCCAAGTCATTTGGGTCAGTTACAGACCTCCATTTATCCCTGTCCAGCCATCATTTATCAGCCAGAAACTCTCCTATTATCTCATGTTCTTTTAACACACCATTTAGCTGATCTATCCATGTGCTTCTAACTTTTCTTCCTGCTATTTATGTCTCCATTACTTTATTGGATAAAATGTGATATGTAATTCCTTCCATATTATTATACTGTTACTGTAGCATGGAAAGGGTAAACCAATAATTTTTCCCCCTCCCCCAGGTTGACTGGCAACATAAGGGGAGTACGTACTGGGTAAGATTCATCCACATTGAACTTCTAGGATTCCCACCTTCCAACCCCAGTTTACACCCCATCAAGGTTGGAGATAGAGTGAAAGTGAAAGCATCAGTGAAGAATCCAAAGTACAAGTGGGGTTCTGTGAATCACACTAGTGTTGGAGTTGTGACAAGTATGTTGTTTCTAAATTTTTTAGAGTAAAATGTGAGTTTTCTAAATGGATTTAATATATTTTGTAAATATCCAAGTAAGGAAGGTAGTTAAAATTTACAAGATAAGGCAATACAGTACTGCTGTAAGATTTCCAGTTGTCCAAAGAATTTGAAAGCAAGTCTAAGAATTCTTAATTCATTGTCACCAGACATTGTCTGTGAGATGTGGTCAGTTTCTCTGTCCAGTTATACCATCTCTCTGAAACATGACTTGCTGCCACTTTACAAAATCTTTCAGAGATCAGTTTTAAAAGTGCTGTTTAAGTTATGAACTGGTAATGTTTTATTTTTAGGTACATTTTCAGATAATGGTGTAAAGTCATCTTAGATTTGTTTATTCATCCTCCCATTTGTGTACCCTACATGAATGCATTCTCTAACATTGGTGATTCATACTAAATTTTATTACTCAAGTTCAGTTTTAGCTCACATTGTAAAGTGTCACTTATGTACCAAAGTATTTCACTAAATATTTACCATTAAAATACTGTTTACTAAGAAATTAAATGTTTTGTGACATGTATATTTGATATTTATTGCTTACAGTATAATTATCTCTTTTTCTTTGAGTATTTGTGTCTGTGATATATTTTCTTTGACTACTTTTCTTTCCCTTCTAATAGATTTTAAAGAATCTGAACAGTTTTCATGAAAGTCACGAATGTCATACTGCTTAAGGCTGTATCAAAATTATGTCCCCAGCAGAGACATAGACATTAGCAACATTAAAGATGCAAAGGCTATTGAGATGGGAGTAGCATTAATATCTTCATTGTAGGTTCCTGAAATTTTTGTGGTGGTAGACATCTGACATTCTTTACATAAGCAGATTTATTTCTAGGTTTTTAAATAAAAAATGACAGTAGGTAGAGTGAAATTATTGCAGCCATATGAGGTTATGTTTCTAAATATCATGTACTGTATAAATTCTGATCACCAAGTTGTGTGTTGCTAATTTGTTAAGTTTAGTGGCCTCTCAGATGGAAGCAGGTAAAGAAATGGAAGCTGTTGTATGAGGCTGTGATATACTGATGTTTCAGATATAAGCAGTAATGGAAAAGATGTGAGTGTGGATTTCCCACAGCAAACCAACTGGACTGGAATCATAGCAGAGATGGAGATAGTTCCTTGTTGTCATCAAGGCATTAGCTGTGATGGTTGCCTCATGTACCCTGTTACTGGGCCACGATTCAAATGCAAAGCCTGTGATGATTTTAATTACTGTGAAAATTGTTTTTATACCAAAAAGCTTCATCGGCATAGTTTTAACAGAATAGCTGAACCAGGTGAGCATTTTATGTTTTTATTTTACTGTTTGTAAATTAGATAAGTTAAAAAAACATGTAATTGCCTTAACCTTTCTGTCCACGCTTGTTTCGAGCACTTGTTATTTATTTTTAAATTTGCAATGGTCAAGTCTCACATAGTAGCCTCAGATGAAAAATATGTTGAGTGGTTAATGACATTATTATTTGGCAGCACAGGGCACTGTTCTGTTGTTTATAAAAGTGGATAAAACAGTTTTATGTAAAATTTTAAACATTTTCTGAATAATGCTCTGTAATGTAATGCTATAAATGTTCAAATGAACAATTGAGGTTTAGACATGAACATGGTCTCTAATTGTAACTGTGAAGTGGTTCTTCATTTTGCTACTCTTTAGATTAAATATTATATGATGTTACTTCCAGGTAGTGCAGCAGTGTTTGCAGGGAAGCCAGGTAGATACTACAGACAGGATATGTCTTTAGCTTTAAACACTGGGTTAATTGAAGACTGGTCCAAGTGTATCAAAACTGTGAGTGTTTCATCACGAGAAACTTGGGCTCATCGGCTTGTTGATGGTTCGGATAACTACTGGCAGAGTTGTGGTTCTCAGGGGAAGGTGATTGTCATAACATCTAACCTGCATTTTGTTGATACTTGTACTTGGAAATTGGTTATTCAGAGAGAAGTAGAATTTTATTTTATTTTTTCATATTTTCAGCACTGGATTCGAATGGAAATTCAACCAGATATGTTGGTGCATTCTCTAAAAATGACAGTGGACCCATCAGATAGCAGCTACACACCCTCCCTTGTTGTTGTCAGTGGAGGGGACTCATTCACTGCCATGAATGAACTAGCCACCATTAACATTCGTAATACAGACACAGTGGTATCACTTTTATCTGATTTGAAAGAGGTAAGATGTCTTTTCTTTGCTTGCTAAAACAAGGTAGTCAAATGTCATTGTTGTTTTCTGGATTGTAATGCCATGTGGACTTGTAAGCAGATACCAGTGTTTTGGAGAAACATACTTTCTTCATCTTCAGGGTTGAAACCCTGAAGATGGACATGACCACACGGTGTCACAACCCAAAAGAACAACATTGACATGTTCTCCACAATGAGAACCTGAAGTCTCACAAGGTAATTTAATGTTCCTGACATGTAAGATGAAAAGCATTTCCCAACTTTTTCTACATATCAGTGGGATACATAGAATTTTTTTGCTCCTTGAGATTTTCATTTATATTCTTTCTTTAGGCATAGGGAGAAGCCTCTCTTCAATAAATGTGATAACAAACATAAAATTGTAGTAAAGAAGAGAAATGAAATAAAACAGGATAGAAGGAAGCCCAGGATGTTAATTTTAAGAGTTTTTCTCTTCAGAGGTTTTATTGTGTGTTTGTTGATTAGTTTTCCAGTGTTGAATTTCAAATTAATCCTGTTTTCTTTGTTTCACAGTATTATTCTTGTATTGAGATTGCAATCAAACAATGCAAAAATGGTGGCATAGATTGTAAAATTCATGCTTTAAATGTAATTGGCAAAAAGCGAACAACGGAGGGCCAATTACCAACTGCATTATCTTTCCTGGCATCAGATAACGATGATATTCAGGTACACTGACCCAGTCATAATTTACCATATTCATTTCTGTTTGTATGTGTGAAGTTTTAGTGCAAGGTTATGCAAAATCAGGTTCAGCATTTATTTTCAATTTTATGAGTGTCTTTTGTGGGAATTTGCCACTTACTTGAGATATTTTTGTAATTTTTACAATTAACTTACTGTAATTACCTGTTCAGCAATTTTGTTCCATGAAGGAAAAAGGATAAAATAATTAAATTGAAAATTAAAGATCATCATCATTGATGTAAATATATAACTTTGTGCTTGTTGATGTATAGTGAAGTTTCACGTACCTACAGTACTTTCTGTTCTTGGAGTAACTCAAAAGTATATTAAACAGTTAACAGGAATTAATCTTCAGAGCTATGTGATTATGTTCAGAAAATGCTAGACTCGCAATGAAAATTTCAGTATTGGTTTTTGTTGAGAACTGTAATTTTTTGTAGGACACAAGTATATTTGCAACTCAGCAGAAAGGACATGTAATGGATTCTAGACCAGAGTTGCACACTAAAGTATTAGTGTGGGGACTTAATGATAAGGACCAGCTGGGAGGATTGAAAGGTTCCAAGGTGAAGCTGCCTGTATCTTCTGAAGCCTTATCTGCTCTCAAACCCATTCATATCGCAGGAGGATCCAAATCCCTTTTTGTTGTTTCTCTTGAAGGAAAAGTAAGTATTGATTAAAAATCTGTGTTTTTGTGTAACAGAGTCCGGTGGCGGAAGTTTGTCGATGCCCTATGCTCTATTTAGGAGTTACAGGAACCAATTGATTGATTGATTGATTGTATGTGTATGTCTGTCTTGTCTTTTTTATATAGCTACATTATACCATTGCTAATTTTTGTGAGCAGACAGCATATATTGAAGTGAAAATTGCACCACACCATAAAGACACATTAGGAAGTGGAGGTATAGCTCCACTCTTTCATGACCTTGACACTAGATGGAGGTGAGAAAACAGCTTCACACTCTGTCTGCTTTATACCCAGGGAAAGAATACTTGGTACCCACTGGATAGGAATTTGATTGGGCCCTAGAGCCGGTCTGGGTGTGGTATCTAAAAGAGAAGTCTCTAACCTGTACTGGGAATTGAACCCAGTTGTCCAGCCCAAAGCTTAGACATTAAATGAAGGAGAAGTTTGTAGTTTGTATCAAGATAATTCCTTCCTCTCTTTAGCTGTTTGCATGTGGAGAGGGTACCAATGGTCGTTTGGGTCTCGGACATTGTAATAATGTCTCAGTGCCACGTCAGCTCACAGCATTAAGTCAATATGTGGTCAAGAAGGTGGCAGTTCACTCAGGAGGTAAACATGCAATGGCTCTCACCTTGGATGGCAAGGTAGGTAATGTTTATTTTGTCACATGTGAAGCCTAAAATTTATTTGTGTATTTCTTATTAATGTAATGTATAAATTAAAAACCATAGTGGGAAATGTATTGGGAAAATTATTTTAACTGATATAATACTTTAAAATAGGCCATAGTCAGTTCTTTTCACATCCTTTGAACTCAAAATTGAATCAATTTAGAGAATATCTGGTTTGAATTATGAATGGGAACCAGCTATACTGATATTTTTATGGTTGTATTTGTGTCTCCAAACAAATGTCAGTGCCTGAAATAGATCACTTTCTTCCAAATTTATCTTTTAATATCATTTGATACTATATAACCTCATTAGTTGGCACAAAGAGTAACTTTTTGTATAATTTGAGAAACCTGATGGAAAAATGCATACACCTAGCATTGGAAGTTTTAAATGTGATACTGTTAATCTGTTTTATGGATTCCAATTTGGTATTTACTTGTGCTCACTTAGTAGGTATTTCACCTTTATTATCCGTATGTCATGTTTTATGGATGATTCAGCTGGCCATGCTTCACACTAGCAAACAGCTGAACTGTTACCTTAGTCTGGCCAGCAGTCTTATAGTTCGGGGATTTAAATCTTGTCTTCCCATATGTTAATGGTTAAATAGTTTTAGACATTATGGAAAATATTAAAGTGACATAATACATAGCATGGCTGATATATATATTTTTGTTCTACTGTAATGACATGTTGTGAACAATATTATTTATCTTTAAATTGTTGTAGGTTAAAATTACAATACTATATTAGTTTTTTAAGTGTGTGTGTTTGTATATCTGTAAATATTTACATTTGTAATTTAGAAAGTTTAGTTAAGATTTTTATTGTGTGTGTTAAAGTGGATGGAGCTGTGGTCAATGGGAACTGTCTGTGAACTTTACAAAGTGACATTAAATATTTATGTGAAAACTGAGCACATTTCACCACTTACTATGGTGAGAAGGGCTGATGCAGCTCCGATGTGTAAGAGATAAAAAAGAAATAAGAGCAAAAGGAGAGAAGAAGATAAAATAAATAAAAATTGTGAATGATAAAGATATCAAAGAAATGATCACTGTTGAATTTTGGTGGGCTTCCTGCACTGATATAATAATATATTCCTTTCTTATTTCAGGTTTTCTCTTGGGGTGAAGGGGAGGATGGTAAATTGGGACACAACAATCGACTGAGCCTTGACAAGCCACGTTTGATTGAGAGTTTAAAGTCAAAACGTATCCGAGACATTGCTTGTGGAAGTTCGCACAGTGCTGCCATCACATCTAATGGGGAGCTTTATACTTGGGGACTTGGAGAGTATGGGAGGCTGGGGCATGGAGACAATGTAACACAGCTAAAACCAAAGCTGGTGAGTACTTTAATAGCCAAGAAACTATGAGAGAGAAAGCATACTAATATTCTGATTTGTGTAAGACAATGTGAGAAGATGCAGAACATCATATATAGGCATGAGAATATGTCAAAATCAGTGAATCCTCATCTCTTGAAATGAAATTAATAACATATTTCATTTCTTCTTAAATGAAATTGGTAAAATATCAATATGCAATGACTGTATCTTAGATTAATTATTAACTCTTGAGTACTGAAGGTTAATGGTGGTTCATAATGTTAACCAGAAACTCAAGAATACAGTAGCCTGAAAATTGTTGAAGACTTTAAAAAACATCACTGATGCCAAAGTACATATTGTAATAAACTTAAAATTGAGATGATGCTTGTTGTGGGTGTCAGGCAATGCATTCCTATCCTTAGAGTGAAACAACTACTGTTATGTTGTCTTGTCTTTGTTTTCTGCAGGTGAAGTCCTTGCTGGGTCACCGCATTGTTCATGTTGCTTGCGGGAGCCGGGATGCACAGACGCTTGCCCTCTCAGATGAGGGACTGGTATTTTCGTGGGGTGACGGAGACTTTGGGAAATTGGGCCGAGGTGGCAGTGAGGGATGCAATACTCCACACAATATCGAGAGACTCAATGGCATGGGAGTTTGTCAGATTGAGTGTGGAGCCCAATTTTCCCTTGCCCTTACTAAATATGGCCAGGTAAGTAGATATGTGTATTGTTTTGATGGAAAAAGATCCCAATCCTTTCCCATATTGAGACCAATTTTATATATTGTTATGAACAACTAACTGGAATCATTTCACTTTTATATAGTAGAGATTTCATAAAGTATTTTCTTACTCTGGATTGATATTACTTTTAATCATAAATCATTTTATGTGTTTGTAATAGAAAATATTTGTTAAGATATGAGGTGAGATAATGTATTTCTGGCTGCAAGGTGACAGTGAACAGCAGATGTTTATCAAGTTCTGTTTCAAATTAGATAAAACTGCTATGGAAGTCAGTGACATGACAGAACTTGCTTTTGTAGATGAAATAATGAGCAGAACTGAGACATGCAAATAGTTTTTTTTTAAAAAAAATAAGTTCAAAGGGAATGACACAGACATGCAAATAGTTTTTTTTTTTAAAAAAAAAATAAGTTCAAAGGGAATGACATCTGTGAAAAGAGTATTGTGCATGGATTAGGAATTACATATCCTATATGTCTGAAAGTTTTAAAATATCTTGTAATTTATTTCTTCAGTATGTTCACATAATTCTTACTAATGTTCACCAGTCTGTCCATCTGTTTTGGAAATTATGTGGAAAGAAACATAATTTTTGTTTAATTTATGAACTTTTTGCTGGTTCCTGTTTAATATATATTGAAGATTTGAACAGTATGTTTAATGAGTTTTTATTGTAGTGTAATTTTTGTTTCATAATAGCTACATGACATATTTACTGAATAAAATATTAATGTTACAGGTTTGGACTTGGGGCAAAGGAGACTATTTTCGTTTGGGGCATGGCACAGATCAGCATGTAAGGAAACCAACGCTAGTTGAAGGGTTGAGAGGCAAGAAGATTGTTCATGTAGCAGTAGGTGCTCTCCACTGCCTTGCTGTCTCAGACACAGGCCAAGTATGTTCCATCAGTATACATATAGTGTATGATTCTGGGTAAATGAATGTAGCACTTTATGATAAACATTTTACTTATCTCATGATATAGGTGTATGCATGGGGTGACAATGACCATGGACAGCAGGGCAATGGTACAACCATTGTGAATCGTAAACCAGCTCCTGTGCATGGTTTAGAAGATGTGCATGTAAACCGTGTGGCTTGTGGGTCCTCTCACTCCATTGCGTGGACTACATTTAACATGCAGCTACCCAACATGCATGAGCCAGTACTCTTTGTTTCTTCAAATGACCCGCTTGGAGCATCTACACTAGGTAATAACATTTATGTCTTCTTTGGAACATTCATACTTCAGTTTGGAAGAAACCATTTTTTCCAACCTGTTCTTTTCAGATATTAAAGTAACTGCACATTTTTATGTTGGGGGGGTTAAATGGAGACCTATGCCAATGGTTTTCAGACTATTGCAGACCTAAAACCAGATACACATATATTTGTCGACTTGTGGGCCACATGAGCATAATTTAATGAAACATGAAGATTGCTGTCTTCTGGGTTATTGCGCCATGTAGTCTGGTAGATTTCACCAACGTTTCAGAGGTCATACTGCCTCCGTCATCAGGGTCCTGATGATAGAGGCAGTATGACCTATGAAACGTTGATGGAAATCTACCAGACTACACAGTGCAATAACCCAGAAGACAGCAATCTTCAGACTCACCGCTGTGAAAACCTCAAATCCCACTTCCTGAAATATCATGACAAACAGTCATTAATTTTCTTTAACAAAATCAGTCATCAGATATTTTACATATCCATTACTTGAGTAATCTTTTAGTTTCTGGTTTAATTTATCCTGTTACTGTTTGCATGTTTCCAGGGATAGATCATCACTGGAACACAGCAGAATTGATCAGATAAAATGCATAGTTAACCAGCTGCAACCAGTCAGGATTTGTTAGCAAGCTGGTTGAGACATTCTCGGCACCTGAAAAGAAGCTTTTAAGCATTTTACAGTTCTTCTGGCCTTTGTGTCCAAACTGGCTCTGGGGCCTACTCAGCATCATGTCTAAAGTTTGTTAATGTAGGTCTTTTGGGTTGTAACATCATGTGGGCATGTAGGTAGATACCAGTGTTTTGGAGAAACATACTTTCTCCATCTTCAGCCCTGGTGATGGACACAGTATTAACATCATTAACATTTTCATTACTGTCAAAATCTTAAATCTCACAAGCTATAAATATGTGCAACATGTTTTTTGAGAACATCAAAGCCACATAGGTTTCATCAGCAGAACATGTACTTCATGTTGCATTCCTCGGTATTCCATTTAAAATTTACATTATTATATTTGTAACTTAAATCGTTATATTGGTTTCAGGTATTTTTGAAAGTGGAGCTGAAGATAAAAGTCAAGTTCAACAGACTAATAACACTGCCAACAACTCTCCTCATGTCTCCCTGTCTCAAATTATCTTGTCGTTGGATTCAAACATTTCCAAGCAGCATGCACTGCAACATGTGTTGAATGCCCTTCAAGTTTTACATGCTAGAGACGCAGTTGTAGCAGCACTTTCTAGCCATTCCAACATTGCAGGTTTTACTTCAGGTGGTAAGTCTTCAGTATTATGACCAGGGATTTAGAAATACACTCACCAAATTTTGCAGTTGTTGACTCTCTTATTATATATTCAGGAGGTCCCAGCTGATGTCATGGCTCAGTGTCTAATTATCCTGACAGGTATTTTATGATTTTCCATAGTTCTGCTATGAGATAACTCCTTTTGTTAGGCCAAAATTGCTGTCTTTCACATTTTGTGACATCTATTAGCAAGTTATAACTTCTCTTTGTAGAATTAACATAAACATTACATCAGCATATTCTGTTCACCATACCCACCTCCTGGTGATAAAATGGAATTGCAAATGTGAATGTCTTTGTCCTGTGCTGCTTCTCAGTCACTTCACTATTGTGACAAGTAACTTTACTCTGTGTTACTCTTCTGTTAGGACCTACAGTTAAGGTTCGAACTCCTGATAGTCCACCGGAAGGGCTGGCTAGTCACAGTTCATCTAACCCTCTTTATGAAGATGGTTTGGAAATTGCTCAGGGTGGAGGAGAGGCACCAGCATCTGTGGCAGAAGCCGTGGGGCTAGTGAGTATAACTTGAATCAGTGGCATCCACAGGGTTCACCCATTAACATTTGAGGTAGCACAGTCACAGGACCAACCAGTTTGTAAATTTTCGTGGTATTTAAAATACTTCATAAATAATGGATTTACTGATGTAATTTTCCATCTTTTTCCCACAGTTGAAGTTCAGAAATAAAATGAATAAATAAATATATATGCAATTGTTTAGCTTCTTGCAAAAACTTCCAGTGAGAGTTGGGGTATTACACAGAATTTTATTTTATTATTTGCATATTAAATATGGGTGGACATTATATGAGCATGTTCAATAAATATAAAAGTATATACAATGATATTAATCTATTTGGAAAGTAATTTTTATCTGCATTGTTAATGTAGAGTTCCCACAGTACACCAGAAAGTGAACAGAGCCCAATGGCAGCATTCCCGTCTATGTCAAGTTCTGTCAGTCTCTCCTCCAGAGCCTCAAAGTTATCAGCCAGTGCAATGAGTGTCATTGCTGCCACCATGACATCCAATGCTCAGGTAAGTACACTTGGTTCTGATGCTGAAGTTTATGGATGTGCCTATATTTATGTGCAGGATGCATGTCATTTATTAATGTGCTTGTGTCATGAAACAAGGTTACTGTTAGTGGCTTCATGTCTTTATTTTCTTCACAGGTTGTTGGTCAAACCGAAGAGGCTGATCCCTTGCATCCAAATCTGGATGATTTCACCAGTCTTTTGGGTCAAGATGATGCACGTATGTTAGTAGACCTCCTTAAATTGGCTGTGGCTGGCAGAGCTATAGATACAGCTAAAGAAACTATAGTCAGTGTTTTAGTTGGTAAGTGCACATAATGTATTATGCCATTGCTCATGATGCTCTCACTTTTGTTATACTTTGTGTAAATTTTCAAAACTTAAACTAAGGCACTACATTATTATCCAAAATTAATGTGCCTTTAAATATAATGCACTCTTCAGTTTTGAAAGGTTGAGTTGAAGGAACATTTATCTTTACTTGAAAAAAATGTTTTAGAAATATTAATTATTTTGTGTGTTGTAGGAAAAAATTAACTTATTTCAATAACAGTATGTTTGAGGAAACATGTCTGGTAAAATACCTAACAGAATTGAATATATACAAGTATCATCTGCACTCAGTCTTTCAGGAGGTATCTGGAGGGAAAATATGCGTTATATGTGGGTAAATAATATATATAAATATATAAGATCTGTCTACTTTCACACTTCTCTAGCTATAATAACAGTACCTTATTGGATTTCAGTTGAAATTATATTTTGTTGCATAATCATACATTGTCTCTCCTGAAACAAGCTTGCCATTCAACTTTACATTTTAGCAATGGGAAGTTCTTGCACTGACATCCGGGACATGTTATTGGAACTGTGTGTGACAGAACTGGAAGATGTAGCTCTGAACACACACTCAATACACTTGGCCCCTCAGCCCGTAATACAGGAGAGCAGTCACCCCTACACTGATGATGCAACTCTGTCTGGCCATGTAAAGATCTCAGGTGAGAGGCTGAATGTAATTAAGCACATGATTTTTTAATTACAATTCAGTTCAGAATAGTTTATCTCTATGTCTCTTTTCTAAAAATCTAAAGATAAATTTTCCTAAATCTGTAATTTTGCATGAATGTCTGTCATATTGTCAAATTTGTGTTACATTCAGACTTTTTGTTAATTTGTAGTGTTATTGTTTACTAGGCGTAAAAGGTCTGCGGGTTGAATTTGATCGACAGTGTTCAACTGAAAGACGTCATGACCCTCTAACAATTATGGATGGTACTGGGCGAACTGTGTCTATTCGATCAGGTCGAGAATGGAGTGATTGGTCCACAGAGATTCGTATTACAGGTAAAATGCTTTACGTATGGAGTGTACACAAATAATGGTAAAATATCAATAATCTTAAACCAATTTACATGAAATTTTAAAACTGAATTGTTGATATTCTGGTCTTTAAATTACCAGCTATAAGCCTACAAGGTAGAAATATAAGTCACTGTTACCATTTCAGTTTCATATACTGTTCATTTTATAGACGAGAGAAGTATACAGTATCTTAATTGAATTCTGTGTACTCATGGCATCTTTTTAAATGAAACTAGTAAGGTTTGTGTACGTAAACATTTCCCTCATGTAAGACTTGATGATGGAGACAGATGTCTCTGAAACGTTGGACTATGATTCCATTTTGACATGGCTTGTCGCCCAAGAAGATTTTATTTTATTTCTCTCATGTGTTTTCTATTCAAAATGGTCTGAAAAAAAGGAGATGCTTTATCAATATTGTTTTTCAGCATTCCTTCATAATATGCCATTTAGAAGGCCAAAGAAAATCATTGTGAAATGGAATTGAATGGGACACATCAGCTTGTGGTGTATGCAGATGATGTTAATTTATTGGGCAAGAATATAAATACCATACAGAAAAACACAAGGCTGTATTATTGCTACTAAGGAGGTTAGCCTAGAAGTATCACAGAAAAGTGCATAAATGTTCATATCCCATAACTAGAATGGAAGACAAAATTGTAATATAAAGATAGTTAAATTCTTTGAAAATGTGGCAAAGTTCAACTGGAAATGACACTAAAAGATCAAAATTACATTCACAAGGAAATTATAAGCAGATTAAATTTGGGGAATGATTACTACAATTCAGTTAAGAATTTGTTAGTGTTCCTGTCTGCTATATAAAACTTCAGAGATTAAAATGTACAAATCTATAATTTAACTTTTACTTTTTATCAGTATAAAACTCTGTCTGTCATATTAAGGGAAGAATGTAAATTAAGGGTGCCGAGGAGAATGATTGGGTCCAAAAGGGAGGAAGTGATAGCAGGCTGGAGAAAATTACACAGTAAGGAGCTTCATAGTTTATACTCTTTACTAAATATTGTTAGGATGATCAAATTAAGGAAGATTAAATGGGCAGGGCATATAGCATGCATCAAATAGATGAGAAAATTAATGCAGTACTCAGTAAGCAGCACTGAAATCTCAATATAACAAACATTTTTGGACTGACAAATTATATTTGTAATAATGAAATTACATTATAAAGTATCAGTTCACAGATATTCTCCTGCACAGTTCTTTTATCCTATCCTGCTTTTTGTGAACAGTTTCAGCCACTGATCCGCAATTACTTTCTTACTTCCAGGTGATGAGTTGCGCTGGAGGTTTACTAGTGACAGCTCTGTAAATGGTTGGGGCTGGAGGTTTACAGTGTACCCCATTGTGACATATGCTGGGCCCCATGAACTAGGGTCAGATCGAGCCATTCTCTCACAGCCTTCTGTAGAACTTGTGATGTGTCTTCTTGATGCCCGATTGGTGCTGAGTTCAGACAGAAACCTCATAACACGCCTGGCAACAGCATTGGCCTCTTGTGCTCAACTCAGTTCTCTTGGTGAGTGTGAAAGAACATTTCCATGTTTTTTGTTTTTTATTTATTTATTTAACTGAATGTTCACTTAAAATACTGTCATTCCTCCATATTTGTAAATTTTGCTTATTCACAGTTCCACTCCGTGACTCATTATGCTGTGTGTACATTTTATCTTTGTTTCTTCTGTTTTTGATTCTCCCTTCCTTGCATCTCTCCTTTCCTTTTTTCTGTCTTTCCATGCTCAATTAACTTTATTTCTTGTTACTTTTCAAACAACAGTCACACTCTGTAAAGGCTGTCTGTGTCTGTGCATCTGCCTGTCTGAAATTATCGCAGAAATCTGAGACATAGGAAGGGACAAAATGGAAGCTTTTTCTTTTCATTGTGGGCCTTTATAACTGTTATAATTTGATTGCATATATTCTGTTGCAAGATTGGCCAGACTCTCAGTTATGAATATGTAGGCCTTTAGGCTGTTCTTCATAATTAAGTCATTTAACATTGAATTTTAGCGGCATCACAGCGGATGTGGGCTCTGCAGAAGTTGCGTAAGTTGATGGTGTCCAGGCTCGGCAAACTACTAAACATTCCAGCCTTGCTGAAAATGGAACAAGGTCTAAATACTGATTCAGCTCTGCCAACCTTAGTGAAGGGCTTGCCTCAGGCATTGTTACGACAGTATGAGTATGAGGATCCTGCTGTTCGCAGTGGCAAGCACCTGATGCATAGTTCATTCTTTAAGGTAAGCATCACTTTGATAATTATCATGGTGTAAAATAACAGCTATGAAAATTAGCTCTTGTGTTGAAACAGAGAATTAACTGATATTCCAGAGGTTCATTGTGCTTCCATTTGCTAGTTGAATTTCTGATTTGGTGTCTTCTAATATTATTATGGAACCCTCTAAGATCTTTGTACCAATGTAAAGAGAAGGCATGCCAGTATACTCATGAAGGGTATCTCAGTGTGACCCATCACCATGTTGCTTGCATTATCCTTGGATCATCTCCAATACAGCCCAGACCTGTCACTGTGTGATTTCCATATGTTCATCCCACTCAAGAAGGCACTAAAGGACTACAGATTCTTGTTGGATAAAGACATCAAGGTTGAGGTGGTGTAATGGTTCCAGCAGCTGCCAAGAGATTTCTTTGTGGAAGGGATCTATTGGCTGGAGTTTTAATGGAATGACTGCCTCAATGCCCATGTGGAGTATTTTTAACAGCCTCTACTCCTTTGCTTAAAACAATTCTCAGATAGGTTTTAATAAGCCATATAGTTAAGAAATTAATCACTTATCACAACAGACCAGGGACCTCTTTTGACTCCAACATTATCATGTGTAAGCAGTCAACCAGCTCTTCCAAACCTGACAGTTTGGATTCCTCATCTGGGATTGATTAACAACTTTTCCTCCCATCTTCATTCCTGACTCACCACTTTTATTCATTCTCATATGAAATGCTATGAGCCGGGATAGCTCAGTCAGTATAGTGACTAGCTACGGGCTGGAGGACCGGGGTTTGATCCCCGACGGGGGCAGAGGATTTTTCCTCTAGCCTCTGCGTCCAGACCGGCTCTGGGGCCCACCCAGCCTCCTCTACAATGGGTACCGGTGTCCTTTCCCGGGGGTAAAGCCGGCCGGGGCGTGATGCTGACCACTCACCCCCATCTAGTGCCAAGGTCAAGGAAGAGAGGAGCTATACCTCCACTCACCCCAAATGCCTACATGGCGTATAGTGGGACAAACTTTACTTTACTTTTACATATGAAATGCTACATAACCTCTGTAGTTAAGCTATAATGTATGTAATGAGAGACAGTGTTTTGTTACATTTAATAAATAAATACCATAATAAATAATGGATACCATAAATTTGTGTCATATTTAACATCAGATGTTGTGGGTGTCTTCTAGGTACTTGTTGCCTTGGCATGTGACTTGGGTCTTGACTCTCTGCCTTGCTGTTCAGAGAACCACAAGTGGTCATGGTTCAGACGCTACTGTATGGCTGCTCGAGTTGCAGCATCACTTGTCAACCGCACTGCTTTGCCCCATGGTTTTTGCATAGAGGTGTGTTAATGTTAAAAGTACAGATATCAAGATTTTTTTTAGAATTGATAATAAACATAAATATGGGCCTGTCAGTTAGATTATGTGGCATCTGCTTGGACAAAGAAGGTTTAAACACTGTATGTGTCATGAAAAGTATTAAGCTGAGTGGGTCCAAATTAATTTTGAGTGTCCGAAGTTTAAGATACTTTATTCTTATATGAAAATTACAATAGAATGTTAGTTGCTGAATCTTGTAAAGCACCCAAAGAACCTATCATCTTATTTGGCACTGAACTTACAAAGATGCTAAGACAGATTCGGCCAAGTCTGCCATGACTCTGTCTGGCTGATACTGAAAGGTAGGTTTTCTGTTGTGTATTATTCATATATATTACATACAGAACAGTACAGACATGCAAATATTTTATCTTCATAACTTTCTGTTCTTATTCTGGGCATAGATGTCTGTCTATTCAGACAGCTTTGCTCAGTTCCTTTTAGGGAAATTCCAGCTTAGTGCCATAAATTAGGCTGTGACATCTTCCTTCCATATCCTTTTTAATTATTTGATAATCATCCTGTTGGTTGATACTTTGTATTCTGAACAACTGAGAGTGTTGTTATGTGTATGAAAAGTGAATAAATATATTTATAGGTGCGGAAGAAAATAACTGAGATGATTCCAGAGTGTGATACCACAGTGTGGGACCATGAAAACAATGAAATGTTCAAACAAGCACATGATGAACAGCTGCTGCTCTGGTTACACAGGTCAGTATATATTTCTGGACCCATTAGTTTTGTAACACATTTCACCCCAGTAAACTAGCATCACCTTATATATTGAAGTATCTTGTAGTGTTCTCTTTAATTCAGATGATACATAAAGTGCAGTGGTTGAATTTTTACTTGTTGCAAGTTCAACCTTTATTATAACTGTCGTCTGGGATGTTACTTACTGTCTCTGAAACATCTGTCAGTTTCTACAAAATTGCATGGCACAACACCCCAGAAGGCAGTCATTTACACACTTGCTTCCATGAGAATCTGAAGTCTCATAACATTCATGTGGTTCACTTTATTATTACTGCAGACGTCCGGAGGATTGGACACTCTCCTGGAGTGGCAGTGGTACCATCTATGGTTGGGGACACAATCACAGGGGACAGTTGGGAGGTGTTGAAGGGGCCAAAGTGAAACTCCCTACTCCCTGTGAAGCTCTGTCAGCTCTGAGACCTGTGCAGCTGCTTGGAGGGGAGCAGACACTGATGGCAGTCACTGCTGATGGCAAAGTATATGCTACAGGTAAAGGTCTGCTTAAACTTTATTGAACATATGTCACTGCTTATGTACAGTCCAGTTGGCCATGCCTGGCTGTGCATTTCAGTAGCAAACTGCTTAGTTGTTAAATCCCATAATAGAAGTCTGGCTGCCACCCACTTTGTTTGGGTATGAAGTGTAACTTCAAGAAGGGAGAAGTATACTGTTGAATATGGCTGACTTCTGGGTTGTTGCATCATGTAGTCTGATAGAAGTTTACTGATGTTTTAGATGTGATTGCTGTCTCTGGAATATCAGTAAACTTGTACCAGACTACATGGCACAACAACTCAGAACACAGCCATGTTTGTACTCGCCATCATGAGAAGATGCAATCATACTAAGTGTACTGTTGTGCAATGCAGGACAGGTGCATTTAACTTAACATTCTGATTTTCCTACATCTATTATGTGTACAGATATTATGTCATGAATGCTGTACAGTGCCTTCTATGAACAGCCTCATTACTGTTTTTATCAGCCATCTGATAGCACATTATATATTTCTAGGTTATGGTGCTGGGGGAAGACTTGGTATTGGAGGGACTGACTCTGTCATGGTGCCTACCCTATTGGAATCCATCCAACATGTCTTCATTAAAAAGGTTATTTTTACAGCAAACCCATAATACAGTGAAACCCCATTTAATGTTAAATGATTTCACTCATTTAGTATTTGTTATTGTTTAGGTGGCCCTAGTTCCCATTATCTCATTGTTACTGAATGTAGTGACTGAATGGTTAGTGCTTCTGCTTCATATTTGGCAGCACCAGGTTCAGTTCTTGACCTGGAAACTGGCTATCCTGACAGAGATTGTTTTGGTTTTCCTCCTTCCAGGAAAATGCCAGTTAGTACCTTAAATTATGCCACAACCACTTTTGTATCCCTTCAAATTCGTTATTTATTATTGATACTATTATTTGACACTGTATAGTCTGAGCTCCTGGCACTGTCATTAAATAAGCCTTAAATAAATCTCATTGTCAGACTTTGTGTGACCATATCCTGTCTCACAAATGCTTCTTCCTGCCTCAGCATATTAACTAATTTTAATCTGTACTTCTCTTTGCAGGTGGCTGTTAATTCAGGAGGGAAGCACTGTTTGGCTTTGTCAGCAGAAGGAGAAGTGTATTCTTGGGGAGAGGGTGATGATGGGAAACTGGGACATGGCAACAGAAGGTTTATTTTAATTTAAAAATACAGTGAAACCTCTATCCATCGTTCCCGGAACTATCGTTTTCCCGGATGCATCGTCCGTTTTGTTCGGTCCCGAATACATCCCATATAAAATAATGTTACATTTTCCCGCTTCTATCGTTCCTCGAACTATCGTTTTATCGCATCGATCCTTAAAAAATCTTAGTCCCAGCACACAATTTTCCCGCAATGATCGTTTCTGAGAAATTGTAACGAAATTTACGTGATATTTTTAGAATTTAATTCCGAAAGACGCACAATGTTTTTGGAATAAACAGTAGCGGTAACCTGTTATGTCGCCCAACCAGCACA